GCCTGGGGGAATTCTGGGAGTTGAAGTCCACACCTCTTAAAGTTGCCAAGGTTGAGAAACAGTGGTCTAGCAGGTACTGATAACCTAGTTAAGGCCAAAGTGGTAAATACTTATCTTACTGGGGTCAGAGCAGGGAATTTGTTGTCTTGCAGCTTGCACAAAGTGAAGAAGTAGCTTGCTGGTTTGGGAGTCGATTCAACGAGATGGGTGGTGACCAAATTTATATATCGCAGTCTCTCTTCCTGATGTAAATTAAAAATGTGGGTCAATCACAGGATGGGGTGGGGCTTCAATCATGTATTCCTGGCCACCATTTGGACTTTTTTGACCCCGTCCCCCCACAAATGCCCCTACCTATTATGCTTTCCTGCCCACCAAAGGAGAAATATATGCAAGGATAATAAAGTGAGGGATATTTGCAATAAGGGGGTGATAGGTAGTATTCTGAGAAATCAGTGCTATGTAACCAGTTACGTCCCCCATATCTTCTCAGCAGTCTGACTAGGTTCAGCACCTGAAAAAGATTGGCCCCCCTACCTTAATGAGGGTGGTGGTGATTCAGTGGCTAACCAAGCTTGATGAGCCCAGATGATCCTGATTTCTCAAGACACATTTGCCACCTATCGGACCTGTGCATAATAATCACAATCGACAGGGTTACTGCTGTAATTGTGTAATAAGAAAAAATGCTGCTGTCTTAATCAGCTGTTACAGAAGATCTCTGGACAAGGACCAGGCAGCCCTTTGGAAATGATTCTGAAGAAGTGAAAGAGAGTCAACGTAGTCCCTGTGTGTGACTCTTTAAAGCAGCTGTGTCTTTTCTTGGAATGGCGCAGCTCCTGGGAAAAGACACTGTTGTTTTCAAGTGCTACAAATGTACCAAAGAACCTTTTGGCAATCAAAGCTGAACTGTTGCAAAGCCTGACTGTGGGCATTACCCATCCACCCTCAGGAACCACAGAAGTTCAGCCTTTATAACCAGAATGCTTTGCGCATTTGTATTTCAAATGTCCAAGTCACTCACTTCAATGGAATACCTTTCATAGCTTTTATTTCACTTTTTTTTTTAAACTAAAAATTGAACAGAATTTTTCTGGGGTTCGGCTGAGACTTTTTCATATTTAGAGCAGACCTATTAAAATCAGTAGGAATTAAAGCAGTCGTTAGTGAAGAATATTCCTCCCCAATGTTGGGAAAGTTCAGAGGTTCAGACAGAGTTCAGACAGAGCCTTGGGGCCAAGTGTTAGGGATCAGGAGAAGGAGGAGGTAAGGTTCTGCAGAAAGCAAAGAAACTATCACCCATATAGTAGAAGAGGTTTAGTTCACTCTATCTTCCCAATAGTTGCATAATTTTTCCCCTCTGACATCTGTAATAAGGCCCCACCCACTTTTCAAAATGTCCCCTCCTCTGTGGACCTTCCCCTCCCATAGAAAAGCATATGGGGTGACCTTGAAAAGGATAACCTATCTGTTTCACATCTAAAGGGCTGCAAATATTCATTATTATTATTATTATGGTTGGTCGCACAGTCAGCCAGATGTTTAGACTAGATCTGGCATTTTTATCCACCTATTGAGTCCTTGCCAAGGACCTGGGATAGGCAGATATATTGTTGTTACTGTTATCATTTAATATGAGACTATGTAGAATCCAAGCAAGACATAGCCTCCTTCTAAATATATTCACATTAGATGTACTTCTTCCGATTTAGCTATCCATGTTTTTGGAGCAACATCTCCCTTCAATGGTGCCATCTATCCTTTAAAAAATTGGACATGTGATTAGGTGACCAAGCAAGCTTAGTAAAGCTGAGCTCAAAGATGGAATGACTGCTGTCCTTGGGGTGGAAGCAGACCATTCTTTAATGGCTCTTGCACAGCCTGTGTCTTTGGATATGTATTTCTTTGTATGGATTTTAAACAATATCTGAATACATATCATCCCAGGAATATACTTCATATACTGAGCTGTGTGGCTCATTTCCCAGAAGTCTCATGAACCTGCCTTGCTCTCTTTCAAGAGTTGCTCCAGAGACGTCACTTACTTGATTCCCTTTTCTCTACTGTTTTCTATTTCAGTATTCCCAAATGAGGGATGAGGTGTTCAAGTCGAACTTGGTGTGTGCATTCATCGTCCTGGTGTTTATCACTGCAGTCCAAAGTTTACTTCCTTCTTCAAGGTAAGTTCATGACTTCTGGTTTGGAAAGAGCTGATTTCTTGGAGTCAGAGGAAAGGTTCTGTCTGCCCGGCATTTTCCAAAGAATAGGCGAAGTGGGTTCCTGCCCACAGTTAGTTATAATTTAGCACCACATTGTAGCGATTGCAGTACGGGCCAGTTTGATGTAGCACAGTAAAGCACTGCGCTGGAAACTGGAAAATGAAGCTAGTTGGGTGACTTTGGTCCAGTCACTCTCCCTCAGCCCTAGGAAGAAGGCAGTGGCAAACCACGTCTGGACATGCTGCTGAGAAAATGCCATGGATGGTCCTTGGGGTCATGAGGAGTCAAGACTGACTCAGAGGTACAAAGCAGAACAAAGGTGGTTTCATTAAGCTACAAAAGGATTGCCAGGAGTGGGAGCTATTGGCTAGCCCCCCGAAGATCATCAACCCATGATTCTTAGTCTCAAAGCAGCATTATGTCTATTTTTGTAATGTTCCTCTATGGGCATATAGTGCATTTTATTTTAGAGAGAACACCCTGTCACATAAGAACAGGTTATATTTGCACAGGTCCTCTACAAGTGTGTTGTGTGCACACGCACAAGAGAAAAATTGATTAAGTGCCATCAAATCAGTGTCAACTCCTAATTATCACATAGGTAGACATTTTCCAGGATGATCTGTCCTGAGAAGATGAGATTAGAAGATTGAATGAAACATTTGATTATACTGTCCCTATAAATGTAGGAGAAGGCTGTTTTCCCTCTCTTAAGCGTGTGTTTCTGTCTTCCTTCTCCAGAATGATCCCAATGGTTGTTCAGTTTTCAATTCTAATTCTATTACATTCCGCTCTCGTGCTGATAACCACTGCAGAGGATTATAAATGTTTACCCCTGGTGCTCCGGAAAACTTGCTGCTGGATTAATGAGACCTACCTGGCCCGAAATGTCATCATCTTTGCCTCAATTATGATTAATTTCCTGGGAGCCATCATCAATATTGTAAGTATCTTTTTTTAAATGAAAAGAATAAAAGCCAATGCAAAGTACAAAAAATACAAACAGAAAAGTACAAAAGAAAAAAAGGGGGGTGGAAAAGAAAAGAGAAAAAGAGAAAGAGAAAAGAAAAAGTGCCAGCAAGTAAAAA